AAAAGGGACCCAAGAACAGAACCTGTTCCTTCTCTGGGGGAGGGTAACACTTTCAGAGGGAGGGGCTTTGGAAACAGGCTGGGGAAAATTCAAAGGGAGGGGCCTTTGGTAAGAGCAAGAGGGGATGGAAGAGAGAAAAAGAGAGGTGGGAAGAGAGTGGGGTCCCATATGGGACAACCTCCTTTTGAATGACTAAGTCTGTAAGTGGCAGCTGACACTGAATCCCGTCTGTGCAGCATTTTTAAAAAATGGAATTTTGATGGGAAAGTTCTCAAGAACAGCAAATTGGGTTTTGTTTTGTTTTTTTGCTATAGATCATTTTTATTCTTTTTTAAGCTCAAAGGTGGTTTTTTTTTGCAGAGTTTTATATTTTGCTAATATGAAAGCATAAAACAGTAACAGAGCGTAATAATACCTATAGCAATGAATGCATCGGGGTAATGTTGATAGAATTGCTACGTAGATCATTCTGATGTTTTGTTCATCTTTCTAGACACCGTACTTTAAAATCATCACCATTTCTTGTACTCATTTTCATATTAATTTTCTGGTGTTCTTCACACATTAGTGATCCCAAATGAGGTGTGATCCTCTAGTCTGCTCGAAAGAGCTAAGGAGGTGTCAATGTAAACTAGATGTGACTAAAGTAAGGATCTTGAGATGGAGAGATCATCCCAGATAAGCCCTTTGTAATCACAAGCATCCTTGTAGAGGGAGATTGGATACAGGGACAGAAAACCACATGACCACTGAAACAAGATGCTTCACTGCTGGCTTTGAAGTTGGAGGAAGGGGCCAGGGGTCAAGGAATGCAAAGAATGCAGTGCTAAAAGCAGGAAAAGGCAAGAAAACAGATTCTCCCCTGGAGCCTTGGGAGTATGGCCCTGCCAACACCTTCATTTCAGCCCAGTGAAACTGATTTTGGACTTCTGGCCTCTAGAACTGTAAGAGAATAATCGTGTGTTGTTTTAAGTCAATCTGTTACAGTAGCAATAGGAGACTGGTACATTTTCTTGCCTTGTACATGAGAACAAATAAATTAATAATCTCTGCTCTTGCCCCCACCCTCTCTATCTTTTTGAGAGCTACCAGACTCAGAAGTACCAGAGTTCTTAACACCTCTGTAGTCCAGTGTGTAACTGGTCTGAAGAAGATGAGTATGCTAGGAGGTACTTGGGAGAAGGATGATGGCCATGTTTCCGCCATCTTTCTGGGGCTCCAGCAGAAGCTGAGCTGAGGTTCCTAGGGGAACACACCACATATCAACAATGGGCAGACACTGAGACTGAATTCCAAGAGTTCCCCTCCTATGATAGCCTTGTAGATGTTGTAGTTTTGGCCCTGCATACCTTCCCCCTTCTTCTGTTTTGGGGAACTCTGCCTCCCTCAGTTCAGGTGGTCCTGGAAATCCAGCCCATTGTAAACCCCTCTCCAGGCCACCCCTCAATCAAGAGTTGGGACTATGACTCAATTAGGCCATTCAGGTGATCCTACAAGAGTGGTTCTCAAACTGGATTGTGCATCACAATTGCCTAGGGAGATTGTTAAAATGCAGATTGCTGAGGTTGGACCCCAGGAGTTTCTGATTTAGTAGTCTGGGCTGAGAATTTGTGTTCTAAGCAAGTTCCCTGGTATTGCTGGTCCGGGCCCCACATGCTGAGAACCTCTGTTCCGGGGAGTTTGAATCCCGGAAGATGGAATACAGGCGGTGAGCTCCTCCTACAGAAATGGTTCATAAATTCCTATGATGAAATCCCCGAATCTGATCTGGATCTTGGCATTCCAAGAGTCTGGTTATTCCTCTTTTTTAACTTTGTGAGCCAATCCTGCAAGTTCAATTCCTTTTTTCTTAAGGTAGCAAGACTTGGTGACTATTGCTTGCAACTAAAGAACTTTAACAGATGGAGCTAGCAAGGAACACCCTCAATATGGAAAAAGATGGGGCCTGTGGAATACCAGACTTACAGCTCCTAGATTAGACACAATCTCTATCTGCCAAGACTGTATTACTATGGATCAAAGCTATCATTATTGAAGGCCTCCTTTGTGCTTTATGGATGCTGAGTTTCATGGCCATTTTATCAGCCTCACAGTCACTCTGAAGGGAAGATATTTTTATCTTTACTTTTCATTTGAGTAAATGGGGCTCAGGAATTTCCTATTGGAAAGATATAAAATCAACAAAAGTATTGTCAGTGAATGGTAGGCAATACTGAGAAAAAGACAATATTTTCCCAGTTTGCTTTATTTAAAAAAAATTTTTTTTTTTTAATTTAAGTAGAGATAGGGTCTTGTTCTTGTTCAGGCTAGTCTTGAACTCCAGGCCTCAAGGGATCCTCCTGCCTCAGCCTCCCAATGTGCTAGGATTACAGGCATGAGCCACCGTGCCTGGCCTCCAATTTGCTTTTCGTTTTAAATATTAGATGTTCCATAAATTCTAGAAATATCAGAAGAGCCATATTTGGCTTTTGACTCACATGTAAATAATCAAAGCGAGTCTGACTCACCCTTGGATTCCATATGGAAAGCATGTAGGATGCATGGGATGTTAGCTGAATGTCTGGGGGGAAAAAGCTCATTGTTTTTATTTTTATTATAAAAAGAATATTTATTTGGCAGCAGCCATGGTCCCGCGCTACCCCGTGGCTGTGGGTCTCAACAAAGGCCACGAGGTGACCAAGAATGTGAACAAGCCCAGGCACAGCTGCTGCCACCACTGAGCACACACAGTTCATGCAGGACATGATCCAAGGGGTGTGTGTCTTTGTCCCCATATAAGTGGTGCTTCTTGGAGCTGTTCAAGGTCTCCAACAACAAGCAAGCTCTCAAATTCTTTAAGGGTGGGAACACACATCTGCATTAAGAGGAAGTGAGAGGAGCTGAAGTGGGAGGTTGTTAAAACGCCAGACTTAACCTTTCTTTAATAGGAGATAAGAGTCAGTGGATAAACACTCCCTTCTTTTAGCTCATTATCTCTTAAGAGGACAATTCCAGAGGTGTGTTCTTTAAGGTTTCTTAAAAGGTCCTAGTGGGATAGAACCTAAATTGCCCACAGTAGGATCAATAAAGAATGCTTTTTGGATTAATTGTCTTTCTTTCCCTGTTTTACTCTTCTCAGTCTCTGACTTTTCCCTAAAATCACTTCTGCGTATAAACTAGCTGCCTGCAAATCCAGAGCTCAGGCTGCGCTTTCTACATTCACTGTAGAAAATTAGAACATACACATAAAGAAAAAAAAAACCTACTAAAACCACCTATAATCTTATCCTCTTTAGAAACCTCTTCTGGTCAGATCTGGGTGTATATTCTTCCTTTTAAAATGCACACACACACTTTTTTAAGATACAACAGGGATCATACTGTAGATACAGTTATGTATCCTGACTGTTTTACTCGTTATATTGTGAAATTCTTTTCATGTGATTAAATTTTCTTCTCCAACATATAATTTAATAGCTGCCCACTAGTTCATTTATTCATTCATTACGTACTGAGCAGCTACTATGTCCCAGGCACTGTTCTGAGTGCCGAAAACAACAATGAAAAAATAGATCAGGCCTCCGCTCTCACAGAGCTGGCATTCTAGTTAAGATTTTTCTTACAGTCTCATGGGGCATAAGTTATTTAACCAATGTCTCACTGTTGAAGATTTAGATTGCTTCTGATTTTCAGTAGTATAAACAATGTTTCAGTGAACATTCTCATGAGTATTCTTTGAACTTGTCCTCAATTTTCTTCTCTTAGCATAAATTCCTAGAAGTGAAATTGCTGGAAGAAAGAGGATGTGAGTAAACGGGGGTGCTGGGATTCCCACCTAAATCTGTGTGTCTGACGCTGGAGCCTGAGCCATGCCATTAATGTCACTACGTTGAAAAAAAAAATCTCGGTCACTAGACGCAGCCGTGTGGTTTCTAGCTGGCTTAGGCATGTGGGCCGTATGATTTCATGATTCACAGGTCAGGTCCAGAGTTTTAAAAAAATTAAAATTCTGGGTCTGCAAATTACCAGCTGTGTGATTTTGGACAAGTTTCTCAAATTTTTATGCTTTAGTTTCCTCATCTGTTATGTGGCGACAACAAAAGTTCTGATCTTAAAGCGTTGTTATTCATTTAGTAAATATTTATTGAGCATCTAGTAATCACCAGCCTCCAAGCTTAGAGTCAACAGTCTAGAGGGAAAGGGAGATATTTATAATCGCATAAATATGAAATTACAAATTGTGTTATGTGTTATGATGAGAAGTACAGGATGCTGTAAGAATGAATAACAGGCAGACCTGATGTTTTCTGAGTGGGGGTTAGAAGATTAAGTGAGGTGTGAGTTGAGTTATGAAAGATGCAGGGGAGTTAACCAGGTTGCGGGGGACACTTCCCTGCTAAGAGAATATTGGGTACAAAGACAGCATTCTGAAGAGGAAATGCCATTGTATGCTACTTTCTTTCCCACCTTACAGCCCTTGGACTTGTAGTTCTTTCTGAAAATCTCTCTTGAGATTTTCTCTTCCTTTGGCTGGTTTCTCTCATTTAGATTTTAGTTTAAATGACATCTCCTAAGAGAGGCCTTTACTGACTATCCTTAAACCTTAACCCCGTCCCCTTGCCAATCATTTTATTTTATTTTTTGCCAATCATTTTATTACCTTATTTCTTTTTTTTCATAACACCTACCACTGATTTAAAGTCTCCCCTCCCATTTAAATGCAAACTCGGCAGGGATTTTCTTTCTTTTTTTTTTTTTTGCAGATTGAAATGCTGAATTTTCAGTGCCTGGCACATACTAGTCGCTCAATGCATGTTTGCTGAAGAAGGAACAGTGCTTGCCGCACAGACTGAGTTTGGCAAAAGTCACAGGCAGGAGGGAAGACCAGGTGAAGAGTCGGGGCACAGATTCCGGCCTTGGGCTCCGCAAATTCGGAGCAGCCAAGCGCGCGAACGGGCCGGGCGGGGGGGCGTGGCGGGGGCGTTGCCGTCCGGCCGGAACTCAAGAGCCGCGGCGGCGGTGGTTTCCGGCCGCGGCGGAAATTTCCCGCGGAGGGACTGTCCCGTGGCACCCGGAGGGGCTAAGGAGAACCTGGATCCCCGGGAGCGGCAACGATGGACGACCACAGCCTGGAGGAGTTCCGTCGGCGCTGGCAGGAGGAGCTGGCGCAGGCCCAGGCGCTGAGGAAGCGGCGACGGCCCGAGGCTGCCGAGCGGCGGGCGAGGAGGCCAGAGGTGGCTCCCGGGCGCGGCGAGCAGGCCTCAGGGTACCTGGCACTGGCTCAGGGCCTCCTGGAGGGCGCGGGGCGTCCCCCGGCGACGCGGGCAACTCGGGCCGAGAGGCAGGACGCGGCGAGCCGTTCCCGCTCTCCTCCAGCTCGCGAGGGCGGCGCTGGGGGCGGAGAGCAGCTGGTGGACCAGCTCATCCGCGACCTGGTGAGTGGCCGTCGCCTTCTGCCCAGGCCTTGGCCGCCCCCCCGCAATACAAATCCCTGCGATAAGTTGGAAAGTAACTCCTTGTGCCACCAGTTGTCGGAGAAAATGAGTAGACATACACACACACCTGTGTTTGTGCATGGCTAGGGTATCTCTGGAAGTAGTGGTTCTCAACCGGGAGCGATTTTGTCCCCCAGATTTGACATTTTGGGGTGGCTCAACGAGTGTGTGTGTGCTGCTGGGCATATAATAGAGGTCAGGGGTGCTCGTGAACAGCTTACAGCGCACAGGACAGCACCCACAAAAAATTATCCAACCCAGAATGTTAATAAGTATGAGGTTGACGGTCCTGTTTTTGGATGATACCTAAGCTTTGAACAAAGGTTGCTTTTGAAAAGGTGGACCCAGGTAATTGATAGGAAGAAATTTTAACTTGTCTTTTTATATTGTTTGTACTATTTAATTTTTTAACTGTATATATTTTTAAAAAACTAAAACAGTAAAAAAGGGAAAACGAGGAAAAGTCCTTTGGACACTATCGTTAGTGTAGAGTTTTTTTATCTTTTTGTGCAGCATGGATCCCTTGGAGAATCTTGGGGTCCTCTCTCCACTAAAAATAGCCCCCTTCGCAAGGTTGGTAAAATCAAGATCACCTGAAATGCATCCCTGATTCCCAGGTTAAAATTAGGACAAGACAGCTGGTTTTAACAGTTTGTTTTGTAACTTCTTTTTTTTTGAGACAGCCTTGCTCTGTCACCCAGGCTGGAGTGAAGTGGCGGCGTCATAGCTCACTGCAACCTCAAATTCCTGGGCTTAAGGGATCGTCCTGCCTCAGCCTCCCTAGTAGCTGGGACTACGGGTGCATGCCACCACGCCCTACTAATTTTTCTATTTTTTGTAGAGACAGGGTCTCGTTCTTGATTAGGCTGGTCTCAAACTCCTGAGCTCAAGTGATCCTCCTGCCTCAGCCTCCCAGAGTTTGATTTAAATTAGGCTCAAAGGAAACCCCTACAGCTTTCCAACTAGGAGTAATTCTTTAAGTGGCAAATTGTTTCAAGAAACAATTGTGTATTTTATGTAATATGTAGTTTTATTCAAATAACAATAGGCGCTATTTGAGTTTTTATGAAGTGCCTGGTCCTGTGTGCTGCCTTAATTCTAATACAACAATCCTCTGAGGTAGGTTCTAACTCTCCTTTTTAGAAATAAACTCAGATTTTCTGTCATTTGCCCGTGGTTACCCAGCGGATGGATTCTGGGTATTGAATTTGGGCCCAGGTGTTTTGGACTCTAAATTTCACCAAGTGAAAACTTGAGTTGGCATAAGAAGCACCTGAGGTCTTGTTAAAATACAGGTGGGCCTTCCCCAGACCTGCTGAGTCAATTGCCAGGGGAGGGGTCCAGAAATCTGATTGAAATCATCAACTGGGTTTCAGGCATTGTACTCTACTATCTAGCCTCCTGTGGTTTAAGGTCCTCATTCTTGATGGTTTTCAGCTGTAACACTTCTGAGGGAGGCATGGATACCAAAAATAATGGAGAAGTAAATCAAGTACAGTGGTCCTTTGAGCAATGTGAGGGTTAGGAGTCATGACCTCCCCTCCAGTCGAAGATCTGCGTGTAACTTTTGACCCCCCCAAAACTTAACAACTAATAGCCTACTGTTGACCAGAAACCTTAGTGATAACATTAACAGTTGGTTAACACATATTTTGTATGTTATATGTGTTACATCTTGTATTCTTACAATAAGCTAGAGAAAAAATGTTAATCATGAGAAAATATATTGACTATTTGTTAAATGGAAGTGGCTCACCATAAAGGTCGTCATCCTTGTCACCTTCATGCTGAGTAGCCTGAGGAGGAAGGGGCAAACACAGTGCAACTTTTATTGGAAAAAATCTGCATGTAAGTGGACCCACGCAGTTCAAGCCCATGTTCAAGGGTCAACTGTATTGTGAAAATGGAGGAGACCTGTCTGCTGAAGGATCTGGGGGCATATTAAAATCCGTTTCATATTTAGTTGGATAAAGCCTACCCTGTCTCCCTGGAATGCACTGTCTCTGCCCCATTCAGAATCACCGCATTAGGTGTTACTAGGCTGTGCTGTGAGCAACGTCCAATCTCTGGGGCACTTCTTCTTAAAAATACTTTGCAATCATTAGTAATACTGCTGTAAATAAAGTAGTAATATATGGTTACTTTCTCTTTGGTACTATTTTAAGGGTTCAAAGACATTTTCTTCTTCAGTTCTCCAGAACAGCCTTCTCCAGTGGCCATTTTCAACCCCATCTGGTAGGTGAACATTAGGAAAGTAACTGATTTTTTAAGAGACACTAAACCTACCCAGTATGTTCAGTCTGAGAAATGCTGGTAAAATTTATAGAAGAGGCTTGAATTCCTATGTCAATGGCTGCAAGCCCCAAAGCCCACAGGGGTCAGGCAGTTAATGCAGGTGAGTGAAGTAGGCTAGGTGTTGTATATTGGGTCCTTTTTTCCCGGCTCATCAGGTGTTAATCTTTTTCAGATTCCACCCATAGTTTTATGGTTCGTTTCATAGTGGCAACCATTCTTTTGGTCACATTAAACATGTCAGTGTACGAAATGTCTTGAAACATGGCTCTCTTGGTTTGGTTTTCCCACTTTTTAAAATTTTTTTCTGATCTATTGAAGTGTGAAAATCATAAATGTATAGCTCAACTAATTTTCAAGTGTACATATCTGTGTAAGCAGCACCCAGGTCACAGAACAGCATGTCAGAACCCCACCCCCACCCCATGTTCTCTTCTGCTCAGTGGTAGCCACTCACCTGACTTCTATCCACATTTTAATTCATCTGCTTTTGAACTATATATAAGTGGAACCATACAGCACATATTCTTTTGTGTCTGGATTCTTGCGTATAGCATTATCTGTGAGATTGATCCTTATGAATGTACCACATTTTATTGTTGATGTGCATTATTGCTAATTTGTTAGTAGCCAGTTTGGGGCTGTCAGTAGTGCCACTGTGAATGTTTTGTACATCTTTTGGAACGTGTACACATTTTTCCTCAGTATTCACCTGGGAGTGGAATTGCTGAGTCCTAAGATGTGCCTATATCAGCCTTGGTAAATGTTGAAAGTTTTCCAAAGTGGTTGTACTGGTTTTTTCACTTTTGATGGTAACTCTAGTATGTGGAATATAGTATTTCACTTTCTTTGTTATCATAAATAAAACACCCAACTGAAATGACATAAAGCAGCTGTACTTGGTCCAGCATGGGCGAGCTGATAGGAAATGACAAAGTGGGAAATACATGCTATGGCTGGGCTAAAGGTGGTAGCCACTGCCCATGTTAGCTGGTTGTTGCCATGTAGGAATGTGGTCCTGTGTTGTAAGACCTCTAGATTTTTTAAAAATTGAGAATATGTATTTTTATGTTGACTCTTCAGTTTTTGCTGCATAAAAAAACCACCCCAAAACTTTGGATTAAAATAGCCACTATTAGCTCACCATTTTGCGTGGTGGCAGTTTCAACTGGGTATGGGTGAGGTCACACATTTGAAGTTAACTGCTGGTCACCTAGGCAGCTCTGCTTCTGGGAGTTGGCTGGTTGGCTGTGTGTGTGTGTGTGTGTGTCTCTCTCTTTGTATGGGTAGATGTGTGTCTGGGTTATGAGTCTCTTGTCATCCAGCAACTTAGCCCCACGTGGTCCTTCTACGTGTTTTGAGAACAGCAAGAGGGCAAGCCCCAATGCCCAGGTGCTTTTGAAGTCTCATTATAGAGAGGGGAATGGAAGACAGTGTTATTGTCACATTGTGTAAAGCAAGTCATATGGCCAACCCCAGAGTCAGTATGGACTTACCCAAGTGCCTGGATTCAGGAAGGCATGACCAAGTTAGGGACTGTCACTACAATCTACCCCACAGACTCTTCTCATTTTTAATTGTTGGTAACTAATACCAAAAAATTAATCACATTTTAGGTGTTAACACTGCAGGTTAAAACCGTTCTGTGGGCTGGATCGGCCTGGGGTCACCAGTTTGTGATCTTTGCCTTGTGTCTTCCCCCAAATCCTTGCTTGATCCATGGGTGACCCCTGAAAGGAAGATTTTGTTCCATTTGGAACATCCCAGAAACTCTACTTACAGGCTGATCCGGTTGACGTGAAAGGGAAATAAAAATCTGGTGCTACCTTCTAACACTCTTCTCCAATCTTTGGCACACCCTTGTATTAATATTAGTGCATCCTGTTGTATTTTTGGTGTCATATCTTCCAGAGTTTTCAGCGTCATCACTAGAGTGAGAACAACTAATAAGTTAGCAATCAAGAGTTAAGTTGCCTTTTGATGGGTAGGTGAACAGCACTGTCTCGGATGGTCCTCTGGCTGGGTATAGGCCAGCACCTTTGATGAACAGGCACAACTGAAATGAAAACTTAGAAATGACCCCTCCTGAGCTGCCTCTTTTATGAAGCTTTTAATAATAGTACTTAGCAGCCATTTCTTTTTAGGTAATAGGTTAGGAATACATAAATTGGCACTTGATGATAGTCTTAGTAGGTAGTTAAACTAGTGAAAGAAATGTCACACCCGTGGTCACAATTACAGAGGCATAGGCACTTTCTCTTTCTTTTGCCTTCCATTCCTTTCTCTGTAAACTGAGGCTTCTTGGAGATAGTGGAGCCACCTGAGTATAGTTGCAAGTAGGCTGCCGCCTTCAGCGTGGTGGTTGTAATATACAGTTGCTTGGTTCCATTTTTATTTTAGGCGGTGTATCAGGACTCTTGGCTGCAAGCAACAGGTACCCCACTCAAACTGGCTTAAAAAAACCAAAACTGGAATCTATTAATTCATGTAACTGAAAATTCCAGGTGGTAGTGCTTGTTGTGAGTGTTTACATAATATAACTAGAAATCTCTCTTCCTCTTAGTCCTGCTTTCCTTTCGTTGGCTTTATTCACAGGCAAGCTCTCCTCTTGAGGACAAAGTGGTTACCAGCAGCTCCAGTCTTACGTT